TATACATTTAAAAAAAAATATAAATCACAATCTCAAAGTCTACTAAAGTGTTCACAAGTGTCTGGGCAGACTCTTCACAGAGCTTGGTTGGGGTGGTTGGTTTTTTTTTTTGCTGTTTGAATTTAAATGCTGGCAGGAGAAACCAGGCCATGATTAGAACATTCCCACAAAGCTCAAAGAGCATCAGTGGGAGCTCAGTCCACAGGGCTGGGGAGAAAAAGCACCTTCAGCCCCCAAAATGATGTTTTCTGGTCACCTCCTCCACACTGGAGCTGGCCCTGGGGGTCTGAAAGCTCAGCCTAGGGATACAGACACTCACCCTGGTGTTTCATTCCAGCAAGGTGGTCACAAAGCCAAGTGCAGACCCTCAGGCCAGAGTGGAAGGAGTGTCAGCACTTCCCATGTGGTTTGGCTCCACCACCTCTTCAAATTCCTTGTTCAGCCTCTCCCAATACAGCTTACAGGCCTAGGAAGGATTGTCTAAAGGAGTTTCAATTCCATGATAGTAGGATACATGCCCTGGGAGATGGGTAACGTGTTCAGCTTTAAATAGCACTGTGAGGGGAGGAAAAAAAAAACCCCAACCCATGACTTAAAAAGAAAAAAAACACCTCCCTAGTTAAAAATCATGACCACAAACAAGTGAAAAACTATGACACTGAAAAAAAATCAGTTCCTGTGAATGCTGCAAAAGCCTACCTGAATAGCATCCCGAGTCCAAACGCCTTAAACACACACTCCTAAGGGCTCTTTAATTTCATGGCATCTAGAAAACACAAACAGGTGGGGAGCACTCAGCAGAGACACACGGGAGGAAGGTGAGATGCTACCACAGTCCTCTTAAAGCTCTAAAATTCACAGTATAAGATACTTGAAGCAACTTCCAGTAGTCCTTAAATCTAGTCAACTATTCAGCTGTGCATAGGCTACACCACAAAACCCTACTGTGCTCACACATTGGGGCCTGGGACCCAGTGGGGAGGGAGCTCAGGGTGGCACCTGGAGCTCCCAAGGGCTGAAAGAATAATCCAGAGGCAATCAGAAAAGCTGCACAAAACTGAAGTTTGACTCTTGAAACTGACTCTCCTGGCAGCAGGACCCACAGCTTGGATCTTGCACTTGGAGTACGCAGGGATGTGGCTTAGCTCCATGATCCCTGATGAGGAGGAGGAGGAGGAGGAGTTACAGGGAGCCCTGGGAGGCAGGTGAGGGGGCTGTGTCTGAAGAGGCTTTGTGTGAGAGGGAATGCAAAATTGAAAACCTGTAAAAAATACTCAGTACAGTTAGAAATATGGCATACTTGTGTCACGAGAGAGAGAGAGTAAAAAAAAAAAACCAAAAACCAACAAAACAAAACCCTATGTCCAAATAAGATCCAGTGGAATCTGGAAAAATCCCAAGTCAAAGCGCAACTCCTAATAAATGATATGAATGTCTCTGAGTGTCAAGTCTTAAATCCGAGGTCTTTGTGCTCCAGGTAGTTTCTTGGTAGTTTTGCTGGGTTTCTTTTTCCTGGTGTTGTGGCTGGCAGGAAGGTTTCCTAGGAAGAGAGGAACTGGGTAAGGTACAGCTATTGACAGCAGCTTGCTGGGAGAGAGAGGAACCTGCTGCCCTGAAGGGGATGAACTGAAATAAGTGAGTCACCATCAATGGCAGGTGGGAAGTGCCTAAAGGAGCTCCAGAAGAGCTCGAGTGGGACTTTGGGCAAGGGCCTGGAGGGATGGGACAAGGGGGAATGGAATCACAATTACAACAGGCTTAGGTTGGATATTGGGAAGGAATTGTTCCCTGTGAGGTGCTGAGGCTCTGGCACAGCTTGCCCAGAGAAGCTGTGGCTGCTCCATCCCTGGAAAGTGTTCCAGGCCAGGTTGGATGGGGCTTGGAGCAACATGCGCTGGTGGAACGTGTCCCTGCCCATGGCAGGAGGTGGGATGAGATAAACCTTAAGGTTCCTCCAACCCAAACCATTCTGAGATTCCATGATCACTGGCATGGGGCAGGATGGGCTTTACAGCACTGAGGCACAGGCAGAACTCCTGAATTCCTCAAGAAGCTCCTTCCCAAACTCCTCAAAACTGCAGAAAAGGGATCTTTCCAGGGAAGGTTGGTGTCCAGCTCAGGAGTTACCTGGCACAGATCTGGGCAGAGGTCTATGTGACACCTACAGCTCAGTGTGCTGCCAGCACATCACAGGTGTTTGGAGAGGCAAAGCAACCTCATGGCAGGAGCTGTGTAGCTTGTAACCAATTCTGGCTCATTTCCACAGCAGGATTAGTGTGTATTTGTGACTCAAATTAGACCTCAAATGGCCTAAGAGGAACAGCCTGAGCAGGACTCACCAGCAAACGATCAGCATTTTACTTCAACCTTGCCCATATTTAGCCAAACCTTGTGTGCACAGAGCTCCTACCCCCTGCCCCAGGAGGGGGGAGCAGCCCCCACCCCTCACTTGTAGGTGGTGTCTCTACTCACACAGCTTGACTACTCCTCTGCAATCTCAGTCTCCTGGTGCACAACCACTTTGGTCACCGACATGTCTGGGTGCTGCTCCTTCGCGGCCTTGATCGCCTGCGCTAGGACCTGCAAGAGAGCACAGGAGAGCACAGGTCAGAGGGGTCAGAGGATGGCAAAGCACAGCACACACCACCCCCAGGGGCAGGAGAGCCTGCTTCTAGGTCTGAAGAATGAAAACCAAAAGTGGATCCACTTCATAGAATCATGGAACATCCTGAGCTGGAAGAGACCCATGAGGATCATCCAGCCCAACTCCTGCCCAGGACACCCCAACAATCCACCCTGGGCCTGAGAGCATTGGCCAAACACTCCTGGAGCTCTGTCAGCCTTGGGGCTGTGCCCACTGCCCTGGGGAGCTGTTTAGTGCCCAAACACCTCTGGGGGAAGAACCTTGTCCTGATATCCAACCTAAACCTGTTCCAGTGCCCAAACACCTCTGGGGAAAGAACCTTTGCCTAATCTCCAGCCTAACCCTCCCCTGACACAGGCCCCAGCGATGGGTCCTGCCGCTGGTCCCAGAGATGGAGCTGTCCCTGCACTGCCCCTTGGGACGAAGCTGAAGAACCCAATGAGCTCTGCCCTCAGCCTCCTCTTCTCCAGGCTGAACACACCAAGTTTCCTCAGCCCCTCCAGGTCCTTCACCATCTCCATGTCCCTCCTTTGGAAACTCTAACACCATTAGATCTTAAACTGTGATGCCCAAAACTGCCCTCAACACTTCAGTTGCTCACTTTGGTGACTTTTGGTGTTAATACATCATTTCTGAAAGGAAAAACTGCTTTTTAACCATACCCCCCATCTCTCCACTGCCCCATGGCAGAAGATGGATGACAGCAATGAAGCAAACCCTGTTTATTCCTCCAGCAAGTGTGATGAGCACATTTCAGACACCATCTCAGACATTTTCTGTTGGAATTAATAAACTTAGTTCTTGTCATAAGAATATTCTCCACCCCCACGATACTTGCAACTAAATTTAAATGCAAAGTATAATTCTCTGATGACAAAATCATCACTTCCAACACACCAAGAGGCCAATGAGGCTGACTCATCAGAAAGGTTTCATATAAAGCTGATGAGATTTAATGCAGGTGCTGAGTGCTCTGAAACGACTTCTGGCACTACACAGCAGCAAGAGTGCTTTAAAGTTAGGACAAAATCAATGCAGCTTAGCCAGATGTCAATGAAAACTTTTATTTCACATTTTTATGGATTTGCTTTAAAAACTGCCATTTTTCCCAAACCAATTCTGGAACCCAAACTTTGCTGCCAACACCAGTTGCAGAGCAGAATTCAGCTTGGCTGGCCCAGCTGCATCATGTCAAAAAGGAAATTTATGATTGATATAGAATCATTGAATCACAGGATGGTTTAGGTTGGAAGGACCTTAAAGCTCATCTCATTCCACCTCCTGCCATGAGCAGAGACACCTTCCCCTAGCCCCAGGTTGTTCCAAGCCGCATCCAACCTGGCCTGGAACACTTCCAGGGATGGAGCAGCCACAGCTTAAAAACATATCAGTTTGGAAGTTTTATTTCTAACCCAGGAAAGTTCCCCTGGGTCATTTTCTAGTGAAGTTGCCTGTTGAAAGGCAACCTGAGTGTGCCAGCTCTGGGAAGCTCTCTTGGATCACATCCTCGTTCCTACCTGGTCATGGTCTACATCTGCATCTCCTGTGATGACAATCCTCTTCTCAATCCGTGTCTCTGAAATTCCACCTTTTACAGTCTAATACAGAAGGGAAAGCTGCTGTTAGTGTAGAAGTGCAGAGGAATTTGAGTGCACTGGGGCTGCTGTCTAAAGACAGGATCCAAAAATAGTGTCACCCAACCCTGCTGTCGTACCACAGCATCAGAATCACGAGGGGAAACTGCTGCTGCTCAAAGAAAACCTGTCAAAGAGTCATTTTCTTACAGCTGAGCCAGGGAGGAGCTTTTCCTCACAGTACAGCTCCTTCCTCATGTCCCACAGCTCATGTCCAAGGACTGTGCTGCAATCAACCATCACCCAGGCCTAACCCTGCCCACCTGGGACTCTCCTGCTTTGATCCTGGTATTAATCATGGTTTTTGAGAGGAATTCTCATGAGGGTTTTTTTTCCTTATTATTCCACCCTGCCCAACTCTCCATCAGGCTGTTGTAGCTGTTGTTTTCTGGTGTTCCCTGGTGTTACCTTGGTGATCTGGGTGGTGGTGGTGCTGCTGGTGGTTTCTGAAGTGATGGTCTGGGCAGTCAGCAGGATGCCAGGGTCCAAATCCCCATTGCCACCATCTGTCTGTGGGACACAAGAACAGGCCATCAGTCTGTGGGCAGTGTGGGCAGGAACAGGGGCTCCACATCACCAGAGCAGGATGCAATCCAAGGACAGAAGCTCCTCTCCATCATGGATCACAGGTCAGAGCCAGCCAACCTGTGCCCAGCTGCACAAGGGCTGAAGGCTGAAAATCCCTGGACTTTCAGGCTGGAAAAGCACAGATCCACAGAATGCTCCAGAGAGGACCTGTGACACTCTCAGACTGGGGTGGGATGCACCAAATCTGGACACACTGCTGGCCATGCCCCTCCTGCTTGGACCACAAAGGGAGCCCAGTGCAGACACTGATCCCAAAGTCCACCTGCCTGCATCCATGGAGATCCACAAAGCCAAGAGCACAACCTGCTTCAGAAGGTACTTGTCACCCTTCCTCCCCACAGACAGCACCTTGCACATCCCTCACTTTATGCTTTGCAGAACATCCAGGTATTTGCTGAACCAGGAACAACTTTTAGCCCTGATTCTCGGATCACAACCTACAAGGGCTGCCCAACATCCTAAGCTAAGTCATCCTGGCCATGCTGGCCATGTCCCCAGCTTGGCAGTGGGACGATTTCTGGAGTTACCACAAGGTGGGACCATTTTCCACAGACTGGAAGAAATCTCATGGCACATCACATCCCAGTGCACACACAGCCAACAGCTTGGGAATCCCAAATTCTGTGGTCCATGGGATACCCACACCCCAGCTGATAACCCACAGCCACTGCACTCCAGCAGCAGAGCATGGACTGCTGCTAACAATCACTTATGGCAAAGTCAAGCTAACACAGGTTCCAAATTCCCAAACACATAAACAGGCAGAGAGAACTGGAATTGTTCAGCCTGGAGAAGAGAAGCTCCAGGGAGACCTTACAGCCCCTTCCAGTGCTTAAAGGGGCTCTAGGAGAGCTGGAGAGAGACTTTGGACAAGGGCCTGGAGGGACAGGACAAGGGGGAATGGCTTCCCAGTGCCAGAGGGCAGGGATAGATGGGATATTGGGAAGGAATTCCTGGTTGGAAGGGTGGTGAGGCACTGGCAGAGTCATATCACTTGCATATGCTGATATTGCTCCACTAACATCTTTAGTTTCCCATCACCAGATACTCAAGTCTAGCTGCATTCTATACAAAACTTCTGATGTTCAACAACCATTTCAGCCTTGAAACCTAAAGGACACTCAAATAATTTATAAACCAAGCTGTGAAGAGGCATAAACAGCAAGGAGAGCTCAGGAGAACAGGACAGAAAAAAGGCCAAGTCAGGTTAACACTGTACAGTGAAATCTCCATCTCAAAACCACCAGTGGCTGAAGATAAATTCTGTTTGCATATACATCCTGAAAATATTAATTACTCTTCAGGGATAGCAAACCCACTGCTCCTCTAAAAATACCAGATGCACTTGGAAAGAGGGTCCACAGCATCAGTTAACCTCTGTGCTGCGTGGAGAAAGGCAGGTGCTGCTGCCTCATCCTCAGGATTCGGGAACAAAAGGGCTTCCTTGAGTTCAACCAAGCCCCTGGAAAATGAATCAGAACACACCTTACCTGTGCAGCTTCGTAGGTGATGGTCTTAGTCTCTGTGTGGACAATGGGGACTTCTTTGGTGGGGATTTCACTTTTGACAGCGCTGGACACGTCGGAGATGGTGACAGTCTGTGTCTTCACTAGTGGGGGCTGTGAGACAGGGTTAAAAACATCTTGTCAACACCCAGTTCCCATCTCCACAGCCTGACCGTGCTGCTGGCAAGTGTTCTGACACTGATCTGATAAAAGCACTGTGGGAACCAAGGTCAGCCTGGAAATCTTTGGGTTTAAGTCTCTGGAATGACACACTGCTTAGAGGGCAGAGATCAGGCGTGAGGATTAGCCAGGCAGCAAAATCCTCCAGCCCTTCCCCACACCGAGGCCTCTGGGCAGCCCAAACGAGGCATTAAGGGTTTAACTGGTGTGTCACAACACCACAGAGACACTGTCTCCACTGATTCTTAACTTTCTAATTACCAGAAGCTCATTGCCAGCTGCCAGTAGAAGATGACCCTCATCTGCTGATGACAATGTCAGGATTAACACCAACCCTGGGCACACAAAGACCTGATCACAGCTGAGCAGCTTTATCCTGACTGCAAGTGAAACTCTGGACTATTAAAAAAAAACCCTCATCAGATCTTTAACTTTTATTAAATCAATGTCAGATAAAACAGAAAGAGAAATAAGGAAGGGGGAAGAAAAATCACTTGTTCCACCACCTGATGATCATCCAGAAGAAGACAGAGTTAGTTCAGACCCAGTGCTTTCCCAGAGGACTGGAATTCTGCTCACCATCCCCAAACCTGCCAGATGCCACCGTGATTGTTAGCAGGGGAACTGGACATCTACTGAACCAAAAGCAACATCAACACTGAAGCAGGCAAAAACACCTTCCATGAGATACAAACACTCCCCATGGTGGGGAGCACAGAGGGAACATGTTGGCAGCACTTCAAATTTGCTCTGCTGGGCTGAGGCTCAGCTGCAGTTCCAGCAGGAGCCAGCAAAATCCTTAAGGAGCTAAGACAACATGGTTTTGGAGCCTAAATATTGCCTTTTCGTGGGGATGCCACGGGATGCTTTGAGCAAGGAAGGGCAAAGGGTGACGGTGTTTAATGCAGAGAGAAATCGAGACAGGTTTGCTGTGAGGATTCACCAGCTCTTAGCTCCAAGCAGGAGTCCAAGCCAAGCAAACCCAACTCCTCTCCAGGCTGTGGCATCTGCTTGCTGCAGTGTTTGGCTCCCACTCCAAAGGCAGGCAGGGCTGGGGTGCAGGCACTGGGACTCACTACCTGGAAGCAGCGAATGACCTCCGGCAGCCTGTTAGGAGCATCTGAGTCGTGACATTTGCCATTTGGCTTTCTAAAGGCAAATCTGTCTTCACCATCCTCTGCCACCTCCTCCTCTTCTCCCCAGGGCTGCTGGGGAGGGGCAGCAGGGCTGGGGGGAAGCTCTGGCTCAGAATGCTCCGAGTCCTCCTCCACATCCACACAAACCCCCTGTGCACAGCTCAGGTCCTCCTCGCTCGTGGGGAGGTTGGGAGCTGCTGCCTCCTCCTCCTCCTCCTCCTCGCTGCTTAGGGAGGAAGCACCATAGTGGAGGCTGGGAGAAGGCTCTGAGGCAGGTGGCACTGGGGTCTCACTAAAAGCTACCAACTGCTTTGAGCCCTCCCATGCAAAGCCAGTGATAACACTGCTCCTCTCTGGCACTGCAGCCACATCCTCTCGGGAGAGAAAGTCACTCATTTTCTAAAAGAAATGGATACACAAAAAATCCAGAGAGAGAGAAAGAGAGAGAGAGAGACAAAGAGAGCGTTAGGGAGAGCAGGAGGGCATGAGGCATCAAGGCAAAACATCAGTTTCTTGTCAGATATCACATCTCCAGTAACGCATGCAACAGTGGGTTGGACCTCTGTGCTGTGTGATGTACTCACTGCACGCACTGGCACAACCTTCCTGGGGCATTACCAACCTCCTCTCCTGAATTCTAAGCAATTAACATAAACCCAACTCACTGCACCTAAAGGAAGAGCCACCACTAAGCACTTTTTGCCCAGTTTGGAAACAGGAATAATTTCAGTGTAGTTAAGTGGAGACTTGTGAACATCCAAATCTCCCATGTGCAACCAAACCCACCCACTACCCCAAAACCATCCAGCAAGTCATGGGATGTTCACTCCATCACCACCGAGCACACAGGTCAGGTTACTGCTCAATAAGCTGCATCAGACCATATATTCAGGGCTACCAAAATAATTGTAACATCCTTTATCCCCAGAGCAGTTGGTACATGGAAATGTTTGAGATAGCTAAACTTTCTGAAGGTACAACATCAGTGACATTTGTGATGGGGCACAGGAGGGAAGACATGTTATGATGCAACTCAGCCCTCTGAGAAGGCATCAGGCATGTCCTGAGCACCTGGAATATTAGGAAAGAGCTGCCAAGGCCAAGGGTTTAACTAAGACTGGTGTTATCCTGCTCTCTATGCAGCTCCTTAGCAAGGTCTCAACTAGGTCTCCTGGTACCTCTGGAAGCACTCGAGGCAGGAGAGAACAACACTGACAGAAAGGGAAGAGCTGAAACAAGAGCAAAACAATCACCCTAAGACTCTGTGGTTCTATATCCAGATCCCACCCTCAATTGCCTAAGGAGAGATACTCCACTGCAATATTCCACAGAGTTATTTCAAAGGAGTTATCAGCTTTGAACACCCATGTCTTAATCTTGCTTTAAAACCTGAATTTCTATACTGCCAGTATAATGATCTTGCCTTAATTAGATATGCTAAACCTTGCAAATGACTCCTGGGATCTGCAGAAGACACAGCACATTTGGGGTTTAATGGAACATGCCATAGGAGTGAGATTTCCTTACGTTACAGCTGGGGCACTACTTGCCCCAGAGGAAGAATCACAGATAAAACAAAGCAGATTAAGCAGCTACACAAACATTGATCTATTTAAGAGACAAAAACCTGTGTACAGTCAAAACAACTTGCCAGTTCCCTTTCAGACAGAGAAAATCATTTGCATTTTGGAAGTATCTGGTATGACAGAGGCAGAAAGGAAGGGAAAGCTGGAATGGAGCTGGTGGTGTACGTGTGCTGGACACCAGCAGAGCCAAGTGCAGCAGCAAACATGCAAGCTGGAGAGTCAGAGTGAAATCCTGATAAGATCAACTCATCAGAAGCACTTTTTGTCTTGCCTTCCTATTCCACTGGTAAGAAGATAGACTAATGGAAAGGTATTTGTCTCTAGATAAAATGAGCTATATAAAACTCCCCCCTAGGAGTTTCAGCATCTGTTACATATTCTGATCTTATCAAGATTTATTTGAAATTGCCAAGGCAAAAGCATTCCTACTTTTAGGGCTCAGATTTGCAGAGTTCCAAGCTCTCCTTGAGACCCAGGAAAGCTGAGAGCTGCCTGGGCTGCAAACTACTCATTGCCAGGGACACAAACCCAACCCAGCAAGGCCTAACCCAAGCACAAAGCAGCCAGACACAGAGTAAATCAAACACAGGACAGGATGCAATGCCCCAGAAGAAACAAATCGACCCAGACACGAATGCAACTAAAGCATCACCCTCTGAATCCAAATCCTTGTGCGCCTGAGGACACAACTTAAGCATTGCAGTGTGAAGTGACACACAATTAATTCAGACTGGGGATAAATTAATAACAGGCTTAGTTGCAAGGCTGATAGCAGCAAGCAAGAGGATTTGTTTTTCCTTAAAAGTGGTTTTGTGCAGATCTGTTGGCCTGTGTTTTGTCAAGGCCCTGCTGTTCTGGCTCTGGATCTGATGGCATGAGCCAACCACACTGTTGGAGTGGATGTGGTTATCACATTGCTGCCTCTCCCTGAAGAATATTCCATTATTCTCAGCCCAAATCAGACTGCAATCCTGCAGGAAACTTAAGGAGTGTTAGAATGATGTCCACCTGCCAGTTACCAAAGATACTTAATTAAAACTGAGAAGCTACAGTGCACACTAACTCCCTACAACCTCAACACAAAGCACAAGGTAATCCCAGCTGCTTAGTACACTTCCCAGTCTCCTCCTTTTCCAGCATGGCAATGGAAGTGTGAACACTGTTATTAGGTTATCCCCAAACAAGGATCCACAGAAGCTCATGGGCTTGGTGTGACTGTCTAGAGATGCACAAGGAGATGATGTTGCTTTTGCAGCAAACCACACTCACCAGTGAGCGCTCCCAGCCCAACGGATGCTCAACCTCACAGCTGCCAAAGCACTTGGGGAAAAAGTATCATGAAGCAGAAAACAAGAGATCCTTATTTTACAGTACCTGCCATTGCCTTACAGACCTGCTTTGCCTTAAAGATAGAAGTTAAAAGAGTTTAGAAGCTGTTCACAACACACCCTGGCACGGAGGAGGAAAGCTGTTACCTATGGGTTTACATGAATTCTTTAGTTGTCATTGATTTGTTCACAACATCCTGACCAGCCCAGTCAGGCACAGAAGGATAAAAGAGATTTAAATCAAAAGTAAAAGTATTGCTAAAAAATACACAGCATGATGGAGATTTCAAAGGTTCAATTCTGTCGTGAACAGGAATGTTAGACACACACAGCAACCACCTCCAATCCTGCACCGACCACTTGGCAACAGGAAACAACCTCAAGGTCAAGACTTAAATTGTCCAAATAAGGTTGTTGGGCAATATGATTCCTCTCCCCATCCACCCTGCTCCCCTTCTCATCCCTTTTGTGGAGCATCAGAGGCTTCTCAGTCCAAATTCCCTCTGCAGAGAACTAACTAGTGGCACTTCAGGTGCTGCCTCTGGCTTAGTGCAGCAGCAGCAGGAGGTAAGAGTGGGGACACCATCAGGGTTTAGAATTGCCATAGATGTTGTGCTGCTGCCTTTGGCTTCCCTCATTCCATAGTGGAAGTTACATCTCTGCTCTGATGCCTGGGGAACAGCAGCATCAGCACCAGATTTGCTTTGCTGTGATCACTCAGGACAGCACAGAATGAGCCAAACAAGTAAATCATCTCACAAAAGAAAAGTTGGGGGAGTTAAAATTACTCTTGATGCAGCCTCAGTTACAAGCAGCCAAAACCCAACCAGAGGCTCAGTCGGATCATGGAGCAGAGGAATAGTAGTTTCTTCATTTACAAATCC